TCAGCTTTAAATATTTGCATTAGAAACAGAAAGGGGGGGTGTTTGGAGCACCCTGTTTTTTTCTATCTGCCTCTCGTGAGGTATTTAAATGCCGACTAGCCCAATAGCTTGCCTTCCGTATTAAAAAATAGCCTATTTTGGTATTCGCTCCTATAGAGGTTTTTTTTCTTTCTTTACACGGCAGCTCTAGTTAATCAGCGGGGCGATTTTTTTATCTTTACATTGTAGATTGTGTTTTAAGCTTAGAGTCTGCTGATACACTTTAGCTTTTATTTACCGATATCTGTTACCTTCTCAATACCTTCTTTTGCATTTCCCCCCTTTTTTCTTTAGCTTTTTTTTCTTGATTATGACAGAAACGTACCATGGGTTTATTGATACGGCTTATGATGCATTGTTGATATTCGAAGCGTGCTGCAATGGGCTATTGCCACGAGTTCCGCGTCGGTTTACGGATCGGGAACGGCAGACAATCCGCTCGGGAGCGGTGTACGTGTGGGATGAGGACGAGACGGGCATGCGGCGCTGGACGGACGGGCGCACATGGTCGCCATCGCGGGTGCACGGGTGCTTTTTAATATACTACGAGCTGGAGGGCCGTCGACACCAGTTTGTCAATCGAAACAACGCCCGCAGCTCGCCGCGCAGCGGACAGAAGGAGAAATCGCCGCTCCACGTATCCTACGATCCGTGCCCGCCCAACGTCATGCAGAAGGAGCAGGGGCTGATCAAAAAGGCACTGTCGCTCTGCACAAACGACAAGCACAAGCTGCACTTGGTGTGCTACTATTCGCGGGAAGACGTGGAGAGCGGCTGCTTGATGTCGCCCACGAATGACCCTCGGTTTGCAGGGATCCAGGTGTACGAGGACCGGTATCCGGAGATTAGCCACGGGTCGGGCCGGCTGGATCGCTCGGGGGGCGGCCGGGCCCGGTCGCTGGCCAGCTCGCGGCAATGGCGGCAGATGGCCGAGTGTCCCACCCGCCAGCCCATCTACGCCCGCCCCCGCCCCCAGCAGCCGGAGATATACAGGTATCCCAGCTACGGCCCCTATGCAGGGCCCGTCCGCCATGTCAATGTCTCTGCCGGGCCTGCCCACCACGGCAATGCCTCTGCTGGGTCTGCCAACCATGTCAATGTCTCTTCTGGATCCGCCCACTACGCCAATGCCTCTGCTGGACCCATTCATCCTCAGCCATACAGCATGCCCATGTCGGCTGCTTCCCAGCCGCATTCCGAGGAATCTCCGCCCGTGCAGTACTCGTCGCCGCCCGTCTGGCAGCACAGCGAGCCACCCACGATGTACGCAGCCCAGCACGGCAGCTTGCGACGCGGATCGCACATGGCGTTGTCGGAGCCTGCAATTCAGGCAAGTGCAGCGTCAAGCCATATGCCGCGGCAGATAGAGCAGCAGCAGCGGCAGCCGCCACCGCTGCCTCACTCGCCATCTACGATTCGGCTGCCATCCATTGAGAACCTGGGCGCCAGCACGCCACAGAAGCTACCGCTGGCTTCCCGTGGCGAGCCCAAAATGAACAGCGAGGATATACGGCAGCTAGCATCACTACGGATGAGTCTTCACCAGTGGGGGTAGCCACCCACCCGTCTTTCCCAGGGGCTGTTTAGGCGTCTTATACCCATAAATACATGCATGCTTTGCCTAATTGGCTCCTTTCTATGGCTCAAGCGAAAAAGAGAGCGCCACCTAGAGATTGTCTTTGAATAAGGCGTGCAGCTGCAGGGGGAGACTAAGAGAAAAAATACCCATCGTTTTGGGTGTGTTTGTGGTGCGCAGTGTTGGTGCGCACGAAAGCATAACATTGCGAATGAGGCGTGAGTGAGGGATGATAACCCCCCCAAAGCGGCTTTTGGGCTCGATGCCCATCGAGGACGCCTATTTCGCCTTTTTGCTTGGGCTGGCTGCACCGGCAGCAGATTTCCGCTTTCCTGCAGCCGGCGCTGTAGTGCGCAGCTCGCGCACCGCCATTGGGTGGAACTCGGGAGCCAAATGGCACCCCGAAGCGCTGCCGATCCACGGCACCGCGGGCGCCGCGACGCCGGCAAGCGCCTTGTCGATAATCGCGTCGAGCGCCGGAATGCCCGCGCGGATGCCAATCGCAGATGCCCGCGGCTGCCCCACCGCTGCCGCCAGCCGCCGCTCCGCCCCGCCCGCAGCCCCTACCAGCCGCAGCCGCGCTCTGCCATCCGCTTTGGACGTGCGTGCTGCATGCGCCAATCCTGGGAAATGTGCCACCAGCTGGGGCTCCACGTCGCCCTTGCACACCACCACCAGCGCAAGCTCCCCCTCGCCGCCCCTCGCCTGCCTTTCCAGCGCCCGCGTCGTGCTGTTGATCCCAATAATTACATGCCTGAGCATGCCCTTGCCCTCAGCCGCCCGCTCGCTTAATCGGACCGTGCCTTCCGGCTTGCTCTTGGCGCGGCGCCGCTGCCGGCGAAGCCTGGACTTGCACGTGCGCCGTGACTCTGCAAAGTACGTGGATAGTGGCTGCAATGCCGTGCATAGCATGTCGAGGAGTTCGTTTTGCACCGCTTGCGGCGCCGCCGGCCATGACGTCGTGTAGGGCTTTTCGAGCGCATGCTTGAATACTTGACGTCGTTGCACTCCCAGTGCCCGTGCGGTTGCCATTCAGTCTTTGTTGGTTCCCGGATATTTCGACAATGAAATGAGTGCGGATTTCCCCCCTCGTTGTAATGGTCACGTATTTCCGTATATTATGGTTGTGGGCCACAGTCACACGACTCTTTCTCATGAGCACAGGCCAGATGCTATTTTTTGCCAGCGTCAAATGAGGGGGAGATTTACCCCCCCCTTTCTGACCAACAAGGTCGTGGGTTTCCCGTCTAGGCTCCAGATACGTCTTTGCTTCTGTACTTTTTAATTATGAGCTCTAATGCGTTTTCGGAAACCTTGCCTCTGGTGAGCAATCGTGATTCGCCTCACCATTCCATCAGTTACGATTCTACTGATCACCGGCAGATGGACAGTCTGCTTCGTCGTAGAAGCAGCAGCAGTCTCCAATTATCAGGTAAATAGGGACGAGTGCATATACGCTGCAAGTTGCTCTTCCCCCCTCCTTTTTTTAAAAAGCTCTTTTGTTTTATTCTCTGGTATTTTTCGCTAATTCTCTATGCGCATTCGTATAATAGGTAGCTGGAAGGGCTATGTGGAGTGGCTAAAGGGCTCACGGGTGGTTTCGGCCTTGCCAGCGCTTGTTCTTGCATTTGGTATTGCACATATGCCGGTTCCCGAAGACCTCACCGGCACCAGCATGCGGCTATTGGGAGTGTTTGCAGGGTAAAGTATTACAAGCAGATAAAGACACGCTTCCGTTTATTAAAAAGTTGTACTTGCACATGGTGGATAATTGTCATAGGGTCATCATGGGGTTGCTGACGGCCGACTACAACATGTCAGTGATCCTGGCCGTTGCCCTGCTCGTGCTGACGCTTACCAAAAGCTTCATGTGCACAACCTCCAATGGCCGCCTTATCGAGTGCGACAAATGTAGAACAACGTATTTGGGCGAGGGTGGGCATTGGCACGAGTACAAGTGTGATCCGATTGGCAGCAGCTTTGACGTCGCCATATCGGGGTTTTCCAACAAAGTAGCCTGGCTGGTGTTTTGTGCCTTTCATATCGGCAAGGCGGTGGACAAGACGGGCTTTGGCAAACGCGTGTCTTTGGCGCTGGTCAGAGCCATGGGGAGGTCGGCACTTGGCTTGGGCTACGCCGTGTGTTTGGCTGAGCTGCTGCTAGCACCATTTATTCCTTCCAATACCGCGCGAGGCGGCGGCATCGTTTATCCAATTGTCGAATCGGTTATTGCCTCGCTTGGCGTAGATCCGCAGGCAGGCGAAAGCGCAGTGGGCGGGTTTATGTCGCTTATAGGCTCAAGCGCCAACCTGATATCCTCCTCGCTGTTTGTAACTGGGATGGCTGGGAATCCGCTGGTTGCCAGTAAGGCAGCCAGCATATTCGGCGTTGAGTTTGGATTCACCGAATGGCTGCTTGGCGCCAGCGTGCCTGCCCTGCTGGCAATGTTTCTGCTGCCGCCCATCACCCATATACTGTTGCGGCCAAAGCTGGACTTCCGCCAGCTAACGTATTCAGTGCAGCAGCAGAGCAATTCGTTAGGGTCGATATCTAGAGAAGAGTACCGACTATGCGGAACACTGCTGACATGCCTGACGCTCTGGGTCGGCACATCCTACTTCAACATTGACGCTGCCGTCGTGGCATACATGGCCATCGTCATCCTTGTCTTGCTAAATGTACTATCCTGGGACGAAGTCGTCATGAACTACAAAGCATGGGATACGTTCTTTTGGCTGGCATCATTTATTGTGCTTGCCGAACAGTTAACCGCGCTGGGAGTCACCGACTGGATCGGTAACTCGCTTTCCCGCTCCTTACAGGGCGCCTCCCCATTGCTCAGCACTGTATCATTATCACTCGTTTACTTCTTCTCCATGTACTTGTTCTCGTCTATTTCCAGCCATGTGGTTGCCTTTGTCGGTCCCTTTTTCACTGCCGGCCATGTTCTGGGATGTCCTCCGATGCTGCTGGCCATATTGCTGGCGCTTTTTAGCTCAATGGCTGGCATCCTCACCCCCTTCTCTACCGGCTCTGTCGCCATCTATGCATCCCAGGGATACATCTCCCAGCCAAAATGGTTCTTTTATGGCCTGGTGCTCTCCCTGTCGCTGCTGCTAATCACCTTCACCGTTGGCTTGATCTGGTGGAAGATCCTTGGATGGTACTAGATTTCCCCCCCCCCATAGATTAAAGATAATCTCGCTTTTCTTTTCCAAAAAATTTTTTATTGGCAATTTGAATAGAACCGAGTGTTTATTGGCACAAAAAACCCCCGACTAGATAAAGCGATACGGTATCGTCTATAGCCCGCAGCTGATATTAAAAAGAGAGGCAAGTACAGAACGCTTTATTAAAAAATATCGCCTTTGCACTAAAATAAAAATGGTGCGAGTGGGGTTCGAACCCACGATTCCTTCCGGAAATAGTGCTTAAAACTACCGCCTTAACCACTCGGCCATCGCACCCGAACTAACATCTAAGTATCGGCCAAAGATTGGCCGCAAAAAACAAATTTAAGCAAACGCTTTCTATTGGCTAAATAAACTATTAAAGAAAGAGATGTCTAAAAGCGTGAAAGAGGACGCAGGGTGTGGTAAAGGCGCAGCGCAGAAGCAAGCAGCAGGACCGAGTTAGCCTGGTGGGCAGAGGCATTGGCAATGGGGACGCCGTTTACCAGGGTAGAGATGCCCAAAGCGACCTGTAGATTGGCCAGCAAATACATAGCATGCAGCGCCAGGCGGGAGCCCCGAGGCAGGGAGAGTCTGCGGCCCTTGAACCACAAGGCGGAGAGAACAAAGTAGGTGGTCAGGGCCAAGATCCGGTGTTCTAGCTGGACAGTAGCAGGGTTCTCGAAGAGATTTAGCCACATGGCGTCGTTGCGAGCATAAAAGGAGTGCCAGAGCTGCGGAAGAGTGACGTCCATCATGGGGAACTCGTTAAAGAGCAGGCCGGCGTCGAGACCAGCGACCATTGCGCCGGACAGACAGGTGGTGCCGACCAGCAGCGTGGCAGCGGTGATTTTGCGGCGGAAGGAGGTTATTTCGGGGCTCTGCAGAAGCAGCTGGAGCTTGTCTTTGGACAGGGCGCTTCGGGCCAGCCGGTTGCTGCGCAGCACGTTCCATCCGTAAAGGGCCAAGCCGGCATAGAGCAGGTAGGCCAGGGACAAGTGGGATGTCAGCCGGTACTGGCTTACTCGCGGGATAGCTTCGGGCCGTTCAGCAAGCTCCTTCTCGAGCCCCGAAGCCACCATATACCAGCCCATCGCGCCCTGGCCCAGCAGCAGCAAGCCCAGCCCGCCTAGCTTCAACGCACCTCGCCTGGTCACCTTGCCCTTGGCCACAAAGTATGCAGCTGGGACCAAATAAACCACACCAAACAAGCGCCCGATATTGCGATGGAACCACTCCATAAAGTATATGCGCTTGAAGTCGTCCATGTCGATGCCAATGTGGACTTTGTGGTACTCGGGGAACAGTTTGTACTTGGCAAACTCGGCGTCCCACTCCTGGTCGCTGGTGGGCAGTTTGGCGCCGGTGATCGGCTTCCATTCGACGATCGAGAGACCTGACTCGGTAAGCCGCGTCAGACCGCCCCATACCACGATCCCAAACACCATCGACGCGCAGAACAGCGACCAGTACCCGACTATCGGCGCATCCACCGTGCGCTTCCCACCCGTAGACGCCATGGGCGAGGCTGTGGTTGCCAGCTGCCGCAACGGCGTACGCTGTGCCTGGAGTGCTGCCAGGATACCGCGATCGCCTCGGAAAGCTGCAGTTGCCAGCTGTCGTAACGGCTTACGGTGCGCTTGCAGTGCTGCCAGAACCCCGCGGCTGCTTCTCGAAGCAGCTTCGGCAGCCAAAAAGTTGGCGCGGCCACAAAGCGCCGGAATGCGCATATAAAGTCGATTAGCAAGCATAGGTTTTAAAAGATATCTACGAGTTCGACAGTGAAAACAAGAGTAGCGTTGGGCGGAATGCCCCCAGCCGAGTTTCCTTTCTGACCGTAAGCCCACTCGGGCTTGATTGTCAGCTCAGCCTTTTCTCCCCTAGCCATCGTCAACAGGCCCTCGTCCCACCCGCGGATGACCTGCCCGGTGCCCACTTTGAAGACCAGCGGAGCTGCCGGCTTCTTGCCCTTTGGTTCCGTGTTGGTGTCGAATACCTGCCCGTCCTTCAGCTTACCCGTGTAGAACACGCTTACGCGGTCTCCCTTCTCAGGCATTCTCTCGCCGGCCTTGCCTGCCTTGATGATTCGCTTCTCGTACTTTATCTCGTTGCTGGCCTTGGCAGGCTTATTGGTTTCTGCCGATGCTTCTGACTTGACCTGCTTGACTTGGGATGCCGAGGGCTCGTCGGCGGCCCGGAATTGCTTGGTCTCGAAGAGATCCGTGTAGGCGGAGATCAGATGAGGCTTCTTGCTGGTCTTGACTACGTTGGCCAGCTTGCCGTTGAGCTTGTGCTTGAGGAGAAACTCGTTGCTGCCGTTCTCTTGCAAGTACCCCACCAGCTCCTTCTTGCTAACCGCATCTCCTGCAAGTTCTTCCGCTGTCCACTTTGGCTCTTGAGACATGGCTTAAAATTTTATTGTTCTCCAAAAAAAAAGAATGTCCCCCCGAGAAGCATACTGGCGAGACATGCATTTATAAAGTATGGGGGTGAAAGGGGTTGTCTTGTGTAAAATCATTTTGCCTCTTCTTTTCTTCGGCACGGTTGAGATACAAAAGGATGACTGAGCGTCTCAAGGAGTCTCAATGGTACAGACATTTCGAGTTGGACAGCCGAAGGGTCTATGCATCAAGATTCCAGTCCATAGCGTTTCTCCTGATACTCCGAGCAATCCTCTTCATCTACGCATTGGCGGTATGGATAGCAAGTATCTGCTACGACACCCAGCACGGACACATAAACACTCACTTTGCCTACTTTACCAATCTCAGCTACACCGGGCTGCTTGCATACCTGGCATGTTCTTTCGTTCACACCATGATATATTGCCATTGGCAGCTGGATTTGTTCTCCCAAATGCCTCACATATTGCAAGTGCTGCACTGCGTATTGTTTGAGTCAGTTTTATTGTTTGCCGTCGTGGTCACCGGAATATTCTGGTCGGCTATTTACAACGCCAATGATATTCCAAGCAAAGAAAAATGGTGGCTCACAATATCAGTACACGCCCTTAATCTCGTGAGCATTATGGCGGATGCGGTTGCTGGCTCAATGCTGTTTGCCTCGCACTGGCTGCACCCCTTGTTGCTTATTTGCGTTGTAGCGTTGTATTTGGCATTGGCTTATGTAAATAAGGCCATTAACGGAATATTCACCTACGACTTTATCGACTACCAACAGCATCACTGGCTGGTCCTGGCCTATGCCACTGCAATTATGGCTGGAATTGTCCTCGGCTACTATCTACTCTACGCGCTCTTGCAACTACTGGACCGCTTGCTCCCGCCTAAATTCGATCGTGACCATTTACCGCTTTGGCTTAAATACAAACACCAGAGGGAATAGCCAATAAAGCAACATTTCTTCCTTCTTGAGCCAATGTATTGAACGTGCTGCTGGCATTCTTTGTATTGGCCAGCTCCACTTGCAATCCGATCGACGTCAAGTAGTTTTTGGCCTCACCAGATAGCTGCGAGATGTTTGCTCCGCCACCAACCACCAGCAACTCTGGCTTAGGCTTAACCACGTTCAGGACACGCAGGGCTTGGGGATCCAGCTTCTGTAGTGGATGCGTGACGCCGGTTTTGGATGGCATCGGTGGTGGTATTTTAAGTACAAACGGCGTGTTGTTGACGATAAACAGAGGGCCGTAGATGGCTTGTCCGCTGTTTAGCCGGAACCCGGTGGTTAGGATCTCGGTGACGTTTATTTGGTTGGGATCCACCTGGTATACGTTGGCGAACCCTGCGTCCAGCTCCGGCGCTTTCATGTCATATTGGTGAGCATCGTTTGGCGGTTTGGAATTGCTCTTGAAGCGAACCGCAGTGCAGGAAGACTTGAAAGGATGGTGGCCAAGCATGCTGCTGCGAGGCCTGGCAAGTGCCTGGCGTGCACTAATTGCTCCACGCTGTAAGGAAATTCCAACTCTACCAAGCATTATCGAAGACAAAAAAGATCAATCCAGGAATAAATTGATCAGATCACTTTTTTTTTTCTGCTTCAAACTTTTCATTAAGAAAATGGGACTGGAAATGGACAAAAAGCTAGACACAATCGGTCAGCAGGCAGACCAAGTACGGGAGCTAATAGACGGGCTACGGGAACGCGTAGCTGACGGAAGCCTAGCTACCACGAGCGGCCTAAGCTTTCTGGAAGTAAAGCACCACACGATGCTTTCCTACCTCTCCAACCTCTCCTTTATAGCTCTTCTGAAGCTCCACGGCCGCAAGCTGCAAGGCCACGAAGTTATCAAAAACCTTATAGAAGACCGTACGGTGCTGGAGAAAATGAAGCCATTGGAGCAACGACTAAAGTACCAGATCGACAAGCTACTACAGACCGCCATAACGTCAGAAACTACTACACAGGAGCAGCTGGGCACTACTGATGATCCCGAGAAGGCGCCGGTTTCGGACGACCGTGCCAAGTTGGCAGCTGCCATGCTGAGTGAGGATGCACTGGCGGATCCTTCGGCCTTCAAGCCCAATCCCAGCCAACTGGCCAAGGATATCCGCGAGGAAGACCAGATCGCAATGGACAGAGGCGTATATAGAGCGCCCAAGCAGACGCCAGTGCATTACGAAGACAATGCAGTGGATCAGCGGGAAAGAGAAGAGCAGCGGATGATGGAGCGGGCATCCAGATCGCGACTGGTTCAGGATCTAATGGCCGAGTACGACGATAGACCAGAGACATCGACGGCCTCTGGAAACCCCTCTGTGGGCTTGCACGATAGTCGAATGGAGAGGCTGGCCAACGAGCGGGCTCGCTATGAAGAAGAGAACTTTACCCGGTTGGCTATGAACAAGAAGGAGCGCAAGGGGCTACGCAAGAAGCTTACGGGCTTGGACGATGAGTTTGCGCATTTGAACGATTTTGCTGCAATGGCCGGGCTTCGCAAATCGGCAGAGGCGTCGGAATCTAAGGCGGCGGTCTTGGACCGGATTCAGCAGCGCAAGCGGGATAACGAAAGTATGGCCGAGAAGGTCATGCGCAGACGCAAGCGCAGAAACAACTCGGATGATGAGTTTGCTGCCAATGAAATGTCTGTGAACCACAAGACAAAGTTCAAAAAGGCCAGCCGTCGTGTCTCCAAGCGTTAGTGTGGTTTTCTTAATCGAGCAATAAACATCCCTGAGGTTCCTGACACTAGTGGATCCAGCCGCACGGCATTCCGCATCCTCGCAAATATCTCTTGCTCCTTTTCATCTGCAAAGCTCTCGGGCTGCCAGATAGGCGATGGCACCGGTCCTTTATCATCCTGCAGCAGCTCGATGGGCTCAACATTCGCTTCCATA